GCCCCTTCCTCAGCGCCTTTCACTGCTCCTGAGGCAAAAGGAGCACTCTGCTTCGAGACCCTGTGCCGGGCGGGCGTGGTTCAGCTCATGGCGCTCAGCGAGGGTGAGGGTTCGAGATGAAGCTCTGCAAAAAACTTCCAAAAAAAAAAAAAAAAGCAACAGGAAGATGTCAAAGCCGGCTTTGTGTGTTACCGCCCTCCTCCTTTGTGCTGCTGCTTTAGCTGGCTGTGGCTGCCTTGCAGGACTCGCCATCGGGGCGACGGGCAGGAGGTGCCCTGTCCTCGGGAGGGGCAGCACCCGGTCCGGTGGGTTCTGGGGCCCCAGAGCAGCCCGGGAAGCGCTGTTGGAGGGCAGGGACCCTAGCGGCAGCCCTGGCTTTCTCAGACGGTGTTTAGGAGTTGGGGAAAAAACCGGTGACGACTAAAAAGAATAATCCAGCTGTCAGGTTTGTCCTAACCAATGTCTTATTGACAGTAGAGTGCAGAGGCAGCTTCAGGAAAACTTTGAATCCTTATATATCGCCCTAAGAGCACGTAACTGAGAGACTCTGGACATTTGGCTTGTGCTTTTTGCCTGCCATACACATGTGTTCATAAGCAACTTTCAGTATGTTTTCTACTCACAATTCAAACATACAATAAGCACTGCCATAAAATGCTGAGATAATAAATCTGACTGTTGAATCTCTGCAACTCTTTTTTGCCTTTGTTTTTGCGTTTCTGCTTTGTAGCTGCTAGGAGAGGAAGGGCATCTCGGGCATTCTGGCAAGGTGGTTTTCCCTTTGCTATTGCTGCTATCTGGTCTTCCGTCCATAAAAATTCCAGTCACCCGGAAGCAGAGCGAGAGGAACAGTGCTCAGCTCTAGCTCCAGGAGGCTGAAGGAGGCCATGCAGAATTACTGAGCCTGAATCTACCCATTACCTTGCTCCTGGCCAGGTGCTCCCAGGTGCCAGCTCCAGCATGCCCTGGAGCCCTTTGTGAGCCGGCTGGCAGGGGTCATAAGCTCTTTGGGAAAATAACTCAACAAAGAGTAAAGAGTATGTGCTGAGTTATTGCACTGAGCCAGCTCAGCAAGGGCTTGGCAGAGCAGTAGCAGAGATAGAACTGTGCAGGAAGCAAGAAGGAGGAGAAGAAAGAGAGGTGCTGTGACCCCTTTGCTGTGCTTTCTCAGGTCTTTTTATCTTTTTTTTTTTTTTTTTCTTTTTTTTTTTAATTTGATGGAGGAAGGATCTTACCATATTAAAGCCCAGAGACAGAAGCTTATACAAGTTTCCTGTTAATTCAGTGGGGTCTTTGGAAGCCATTCTTATGTGCTAAGGGAAAAATGTAAGGATGATTTTGGTCCTATTGAAAAAGCTATAGTTTTTTCTGTTCACAGGTGAGGGGAAGATTTCTAGTACTCAGCTGACCAAAGAGCCCTTGGAGAAGTCAGCATGGCCTCATGTAATTCCCGCAGCTTCTCATGAGGTGGTCATCAGGTATGACCCTTTACTGACAAGTTGTGATATGTCCAGGGCTGTGCAGGTAGACTAATCCAGGGGGTGAAACTTTGTGTCCTGATCAGCAGCTTTTTCCTTCCTTTTCTCAGTTACGTGTTATGTAGATCAGGCGTGTATTGGCATTGTCTCCCTTCCTCACTTGGATGGTGCTGCGAGAGAGGAGTTACAAGGGAGATCTGCAGTTTAATGTAGTAGTTCGTTTTCCAGAAAGAATATAGAATTATAATATCCCTTTAATGACATCTAGCATTCATAGGTGATTTGCTAGAGAACTGGGTTTATCACAGGTTGCTGTGACAAGGGGCGTTTGTAACACGTGAAAGTCTAAAGACCTTTTTCCAGGTGAGCTTGGCAACATGGTTATGGGTGTGGGGGTCATAAAATTGCAGACTATTTCAGGTTGGAGAATCATAGAATATCTCAAGTTGGAAGGGACCTCCCTGTTCCTCGCAGGACTCCTAAAAGTAAACACAGATGACTTAAGAGCATTGTCCAGACACTCCTTGAACTCTGGCAGGCTTGGTGCTGTGACCACTTCCCTGGGGAGGCTGTTCTAGTGACCAACCACCCTCTCGGTGAAGAGCCTTTTCCTAATGCCCAATCTGAACTTCCCCTGACATGGCTTCATTCCATTTCCTCATGTCCTCTTACTGGTCACCAGGAAGAGGAGGGTTGCGAGGGCTGTTCCCCTCCTGGCTGGCCCATGGGCCCTTATTGCCTGTTCTGGAGCTGGTGGCTGTACTCAGCTGTGCAACTGTCCCAGCCCAGCTGTTGGGATCTTAACCCCATCGATTCTGGAACTCAGTGTAATCATTGCTGTTTTCTGCTGGGTGGTTTTGAATGAAAAGTTCATTTTATCTTAGCTGTTGATGAGCACATAAAGGGAGACTTAGATGGCAGCAGCAATATTGGGATAGGCAGCTAGACCACCATGGTGAAAGCTTTTGCTTTCAGTTCACACTCAAGTAACATAAAGACTCCTGGTGAAACTTTCTGCATAGAGGAGCACAAAACATGAGCACAAAAATGTGCCAGTCTGGGCTGACACACAGGGTTTGGCCAAATCTGAAATGGGGCCAGCCTGAATGCCTCCTGTGTACAGGTGTCTGTGCTGTGAATTTACTACTTTGGTGCAGTCAGGGGAAAGAAGTAGTGAGACTTACTGAACAGTGGCATTGTTCTAGAGTTTTTTTATCTCCTGGCCAAATCCAAGTGATTAGGATACTAGTTGTCACCCTGTATTTGTGTGGGAGAACCTGTTGGGGCCAGATATCTGCACAGGGGTTCGTGGTTCCTGAGAACCCTTGTTCTGGGTTCTGGCCGTGCACATGGATAAACCTCTTTCCTCATCCTTTCTTGTAGTCTTAAGGAAATAAGGAAAGTAAGGTACTGGTCATCTCGCCGCCTGCGAGTCTTAACTTGGGTGGCCAGAGGCACCTGTGATTATGGAGGAAAGTCCAAATCAAATTTCTGTTCTGAAAAGTTTGCTGATGGGACTGAAATATCTCGGTGGATAGCTTTGGGGGAATCTTTTAATGCAGGAGGAATAAATGCAAGCTGTTTGTTGGCTTGGGTATGTAGTGATTCTAATTTCAAAAGCAGGATGCAAATTTCTGGATCTGGACTCTCCTAAGGGTCTGACTCGCTAACCTGTCCTGAAGCTGGGGACTTTGCTAGAGAGAAGGTAATCCTGGGGGGGACACAGAATTCACAGATAATTTGATGATAAGAGTAGAACATATCTTTGCACTTTGATTCAAGAACATTCTTGGGGAGGGGTGAGTTATGCATGTCACTGCTCCAGTGTTCCTTTAGGTCAGTTTGTAGCAATAATGCTTACTTAAACTTAGAGTGGAACAACTGCAAAACAATGCAATGAAATATCTCTTGCGCTATTTTAAACTTGAAGTTCGGTCTGAAAATTTTTCAAATTGGTCTGTAAGTTACCTTAAATGCTACCAGGTCAGGCCAGTAAAAGTCTAAAATATATTTTCTGTTGGTTTTATCAGGAAGGTAAGTATATGTATGTGAGAGAAAAACAGTCTGGGGTTTGTGGGGGTCTGCCTTGGTTTAAAAAAGAAGAATAGCCTGCAAAAGGAAAAGCTGCAATGGACTCTCTGAACTAAGTTATTTTTGAGTTACAGCTGTGCTGTTCAATGATTTTAGCTGGCTAAATACCAAACCAGAGGTTTTGATAAAGGTTTTTTTCTTCTCAGAAAAGTCCTGTTCCTTCACATCTGAACCTGCAGGAAGCATCCTGTTCTCCTGTAGCAGAGGAAACCTTGAGGCTGTAAAGTATGCTGGAAGCTGAAGCGCAAATGAAGAATGACCTCAAAAGTACTCACTTTGAGCTTGCTCCACAAACAGCCCAATGTTAAAATTGTTTTGGTTCAGCTTAGGCTTTCTGACCATCTGCAGTCAGTTATAGTGGCATTTGTGAGAGCTGTTGTTCAGGTGGACATATAAGACCAGCAGATTTGATGGCCCAATTTTTTTCCTTCATTAAATAGTCTGATTGTTTCCAGAGCAACAAATTAAAAGAGCCCTTTTTGATAAGGTTTGGTGGCCTAGTTGACTACAGTAATAGCCTGAGCTGCCTCTTGCTGTGGGAATTGTGGTAGACGAGAGCCTGAATGCATGGGGTGAGGGGCTGGCGAGCCAGGGTAGGCAGTTCTCGCTGCCTGCTCTAGCTGCCTCTCCCTCCATAGCCTCACTGAGTCGAGTCACTTAAATTTTCAGTAGCCTCCAGGCTTCTGTTTGTGAGCCAAGTTTATGGCTGATGGGCACAAAGCCTATTATGAGGGAGCACAAGAGATGGAGAGCAGAGATGAAGTTTCAGATATTTGGTTGCTTTAGGCATTGGGATAAGGAAAATTACTGCTCCTTGCAGCAGCTTCCAACCATTGGGCTAAGACTGCCTGTTGAAGCATTTGCCTGTGTCCCGGGCTGTGGCATCTGGAGGAGCACGGGCAAGTTTGTTTATATGGAGCACAGAGGTCCACCTGAAATTCCTGATTGTTTCTGAAAGCCTTAAGTCAGTTTTAAGGGAGAAGCTAGGCTGGAGGTAGGGAAGGAAAGGTTGTGTGGCGAGGTGGAAGTGAGTGCATGCTGCAGAAATGGCCCTGTGAATTCCCCTACGAAGCAGTGT